CTTTTGCATTGTTGGTGGCAGTGCAAGCTGGTGCAGACACTCTGGAAAACAGTATGGAGGTTCCTCAAAAAACTAAAAATAGAACTACCCTATGACCCAGCAACTGCACTACTAGGTATTTATCCACAGGATACAGGTGTGCTGTTTCGAAGGGACACATGCACCCCGATGTTTATAGCAGCACTATCGACAATAGCCAAAGTATGGAAAGAGCCCAGATGTCCATCATTGGAGGAGTGGATAAAGAAGACGTGGTATATATATATACAATGGAGTATTACTCGGCAATCAAAAAGAATGAAATCTTGCCATTTGCAACTACGTGGATGGAACTGGAGGGTATTTTGCTAAGTGAAATTAGTCCATCAGAAAAAGACAAATATCAGATGACTTCACTCATATGAGGCCTTTAAGAGACAAAACAGATGAACATAAAGGAAGGGAAACAAAAATAATATAAAAACAGGGAGGGGGACAAAAGAGAAGAGACTCATAAATATGGAGAACTGAGGGTTACTGGAAGGGGTGTGGAAGGGAGGATGGGCTGAATGGGTAAGGGGCACTAAGGAATCCACTCCTGAAATCAATGTTGCACTATATGCTAACTAATTTGGATGTAAAGTTTAAAAAATAAAAAACAAAATTTAAAAAAGTAAAAATAAAAACTCTTTTAAGAGGTTATCTATTTGACCAACCAACCGGCTCCATTACTTCTAGAAAGTACACTCACGCCCTGAGTGTCTGCTGATCCTCGGCCACTCTCCGACACACTCTCGGACCTCTACTCTCACCGGATGGGCTGTACGTGAGCAAGTGAAGCACTCTGTGCCATCCACAAATGTTCTGCGGTTACTCGATTTAATCATCTGTTATGCAAACCGATGAAACTGACTTAAGAGAAGATAGGTTTTTTTCTCTATAAATCAGGTTGAATGCTGTTGAAAGACTCAGTAGAAGTGGGCAAAATAATAAACATTGTAACAGATGTGACAGCTCAATAATAAAACCTTAGAAATAAAAACATCAAAACCTAAAACCTTAAAAAACCTTAAACCTATGGAAGGTTCCATAGATGTCTTTAAGCTTTTGCTTCACTTTAAAGGAATGAAAACTGTAAAGACAAGGCAGACCGTGGACTCTCACAGAAAGGACCTACATCAAAATACTGGTGAGTAAATTTATGTGTGAGGTAAAACAAAATGTTTACAATACACATGTATCTTTACTAATATTATCCCCAAATCAGTGACTTCTCAATAAGCAGCCAACCAGTGGATCCAACTACATCTCCTAAAATTGACTCTATTGTAGTTTTCTGCACTCAACTGATAAATTTTATTCTAGTTCTACATACCTGGAGTGACAATAATGCTGCTATCTTGCTACGAAGCAAATGTACGAATTCTACCTGAAAAGATCCAAGAATTGGTACTTAGAAGACCTCGAATACAACAAAATGTTCTATTTTATGATGTCGCACCACGAAACAGACTCTGTTAGCAGGTTACTGGCCAAAATAGACATATCTCTTTGCCATTATCCTTACTGTAAGGGCATGAATATTACTGCATATAAAGGAGATAAAGAGTACACTTTAAAAACTGTCGGCAGACCCTCATTTGCCCAACTGACACAAAAGGGAATTTTGGCTCCCAAGAGACCTTGTAAGATGAGAAAATTATACAAATATAGGAATCTTCCGAACACAAGTTTGAGAAAATACTTAAGTGAAAACAGAATTTGATTATAAAAATGAACATGACCAAGTAAGGGAAAGCATTTATTTCTGGCCCACAAACCAGCAGACCTACTCATCCACAGAAGTTCTGAATGTTAGGGACACACTGGATAAAAAGGAAAATGAAGATGTGGCCCAATGCCATGTTGACTGTACTATAACGAAAATAACTGTCCAGGGCGCCTGGGTGGCTCAGTCGGTTGAGCGTCCGACTTTGGCTCAGGTCATGCTCTCACAGTCCATGGGTTTGAGCCCTTCATCGGGCTGTGCTGACAGCTCAGAGCCTGAAGCCTGCTTTAGATTCTGTCTCTCTCCGTCTCTCTCTCTGCCCCTCCCCTGCTCACATGTGCTCTCTCTCCCTCTCTCTCCCCCTCTCTCAAAATAAATAAATAAACTTTGAAAAAAATGTTAAAATTTTTTAAAATAAGATAAAAATCTTAAAAGAAAAAAAGAAACCAATATGAAAAATATTTATGGATAAACCAACTTCTTATAAAATTAGTACTTCTCTAAATGTCTCTGTGTTTAATGCCAGCAGTGATCTGTGCCCACTGTGGTAACCGTCTGGACAGTCTTTCCATGAATCTTGATGTGATACATATGGACTTTGCAGGGTAACAGAAGGTAACCAGACTAGCTATGGCTGATCAGTTTGTAATATATGTAAATATCAAATCGTTACATCACACCTGAACTCAATATAATATTGTAAGTCAATTATACTCAAAAAAATTAGGAGTTCTCAGAAATTTTCTAGGAAAAGCAAGCAAGTCAAGAGCTAAATATAATCTCAAAGATTTTGGGCAAGGAGAAACAAACAAAACAAACACTAAAAAAAAAAAAGGTTATGCTGACAAATTATTACTGGGATAGACACTGTAATACATTTCTTACAACAATTAAGGATGTCAAGGCTGAGAACATAGAGAAAAAAAGGACAGAAGTCTGGGAGCCAGTTCCAGGTCGGGGGTAAAGAACCAGCAATTGCACAGTAGGAAAAAGCAAACAGCACACGGCCCAGGTGTGACAGTGGGTAAATTCAAGAGGAAAAGCTGAGGTCACTTTTCTGGTGACCACTGGAAATCTTATTTTGAGGCCATGGGAATGTAACCTTCCTTTTGATACACCTTCCCGGAAGGAGCCCCAGAAGTAGCTCCCCCTTAGTAAGATGTCTCTACATGTACCCGGTGCTCAGAGTTAGAACGCAGTCCGCATACGCTAGCCCCCAATCCTTCAGCCAGGCAAGAGCTGATGTTAATGCCATTTTTCATATGAGACAAAGGGCTCCAAATACAGTCAACTTTTTAAATAGCATGACAAACTTACCTGTCGAGTGAATATTTTTCCCCAAGTTAGAAAGATTCTCTACCCCTCAAAAACTCATTTACAAGAAAATCTGCTGTTCTTGTCATAATGTATAACATGGATGCTTTCCTGCTCTTACCAGGCCAGCTGTAACCAAGATCCCCACCATGCAAACTGGCAGCTAACAGTTATGTGCCTTCAGAGACACCAAGTGGAGACAACAAATACAGCAGATTATCGGTGCAGGTAAGGGGCACATTGTCCCTTCTCTACAACTTTCGGCTGTGGGGGGACACTTAGTTCCCAGTCCTCCTATTTCCCCAGGAGGGGAGGGAATGTCCCCTGGAGTGAAAGTATAGAACATACCAGGCTTTCCTCCCCATCCCACTCCCACCCCTAACTTCCCAGGAGAGAAGGCCTGGCTTCCACTGAGTGGCTTGCCTGGGGCCACGCATCTGGCTGAGCTCTTTCCTCTCTCGTTCAGATCTAGCTGGCTTGCAGAACCTAATATATGCTCCTCCAAGTCCTGTTTTAGGGGAAGTCTCTGCCTCTATGAGGACGGTGTCCAGCCATCTGGCTGTGCCAGGGACAAGGACGACGTGTCTCTTAACTCAAAGGGGAAGTATTAACACGAACACGGCTACAGATCTACGGCAGTCTGATCTCCAGTTATGTCTCCTTTCTCAGTTCAGTACACAGTTGAGAGGAAAGGACAAAGATGTTCTTTACTGATCCCCTAGAGCCATAAGCCAGTATTAAGAAGATAAAAATAAGCTAGACAAAGAAGACCTTTTTCTTTTTCCTAACCATCCTCATTACTTTTTAAATATTTAACAAAAAATCCACACATGTAGCTGATACAATGGTTCCGTCTCATCAAATGACACTAGCTTGCTTGTCCCAGAATCAACATGATCACACGAGCTCAGCATGGGTTAACAAGCCAAAGCACTTGGGGCACCTGGGTGGCTCAGTCAGTTAAGTGTCCGACTCTTGGTTTTGGCCCAGGTCATGATCTCACAGTTCATGAGTTCCAGCCCCGCATCAGGCTCTGTGCTGACAGCCTGGAGCCTGCTTGGGATTCTCGCTCATTCTCTCTCTCTCTCTCAAAATAAATATCCTTTAAAAAAACAAACAAACAAACAAACCCCCTAGTCAACAGTATCGGCCCTCAGCAACAAGATTAGATTTTGAGGCAACCTCTAGTTAGATCAGATGACCTCATATGTTAAGGGTTCTTCTGGACTTAAAGTTCTGATTTTTAACTAAAACTCTATCTGCAGTTTGCAACCATCACTGGAAATCACACTTTTCACATCTTCTTTGGTAGTTCAAGTAAAGTGCAGCGATACGAACAAGTCAATGAATACACATGAGCCACTTATTCTTTATCTGTAAAAATGAGGATATTACCGTGTACTGCTCAGGTGTCGTGAAGAGACCAAATCACTTAATATATGTGAAAAAGCATCAAAATTCTGGACACGCACATTTCTGTTTTGTTTCCTTTCTGCGTGGCCGGCAGCTACCGCCTTCCGCCACTAGATGGCAGTGCTGCATGGGTAAGGCCAGTCTGGATTGTAGTCAAGGGCTTCAGGTGAAATGTGTGAAAAATCAAATTACAGGGGTTTTCCCGGCATCCGATAAGGTAATAGAGTTGTAGATAGCTAGTAAAAATGTGTGAACGTTTACCTCTGACCCCAGACTGAGAGAAATAATCTCATCCTCAAAAGCAGAATGTGTGTCAATATGAGCAGGAATTCCTGGGACAGAAAATAAAATAACATGTCACTTCATTTTTCCTTTTAGCAGATTTAAGATGACTCTAAATACAGCCTCTCATTACTATGGTTGAGAACACTGTGTGATAATCGGGAGTGGAGGATAATTTTAGTTAAAAGGAAACATTTAGGGTGAACGTGACTAAACAAAATCAAACTAAATCTCAACTAAAAATATCTTAACTTCATGATGAAGTGCCACTGGCACTCAATTTTGAAACCAAAACGTGAGAGTCACTGCTGACCTAGGACAATGACCCGGTCCCAGCCCGAGAGAAAGGTGTGAAAGATAAATACCAAAGTCACGTTCTCCTTGAACACTGGATCCCCAAGTACACGCAGGGCAAAAGCGACATCCAGGTGTGAGGACCAAGCCTATCAATAATTAACATGTGGCTTCCACTACCCATTTCTCATCTATGTTAATTGAGTATTTCCTAGAAAAAGGAACTTTGCCACATGGTATGAGTACATAAAACAAGATGTACCCCTGTCCTCAAGGAACACAGAGACCAAGAACACTGATAGGTAAACAGGCAATTATAATACATTGTGATAAAAGCAGAAAAAAAAACAAAACCCCACAATGTCTGACATTAGTCAGATCCTTAAGACCATTTCGTTACTACAAACATCAAATGAAGATGCTAATAAATGCAAAAAAAATCAGGACCCTAAAGATTTTTTCACTGACGTACCATCCTAGAATTGTCTTCACCTTCTGAGGGGAAAGAAGAGAAAGACCAGGTATCTGTAAATTATCTGGAACCTCTATCACACTTGTCTCCTATGTCCTTAAAACAATCTCCCCCCTCTCTAAATGAAACGTAGAGAAGTGAACAAAAAAAGAAATCATAAAAAAAAAAAAAAAAAAAAAAAAAAAAAAAAAAAAAAAAAAAAAAAAAAAAAATCACACAGCAACTATGTCAGCCTGCTTACCTACACTTTGAGAAGCAAGTTCCTCAAGGGATTAACGTTTGCCTTACATGTAACAAACACAAGCAAATTACTGTGAAGAGATAGTTCAAGATAAAAAATAATATCTTTGATTTTAGGGAGTTGCATACTCTACTTCGTTATGAAATATGTGGTTGGAGTATTAAAATAAGAAGCACTCACCATGTCCAGGTTCATACTGGTTTACAGTCAACTGATCGGGTTTGTGTTTAATGTAACCTTCTTTCAACCATTTCTCCAAAATGCCATCACAAATGTCAGGAAGACCTGATGTCGGTAATCATAAAGGTGAAACATATTAAAATATTTACTTTGCATGTTTTACTCAAGAATAAAGTCACTGTGAGAAAAATCACGCAGCTTTTAATTTCGCAGTCAGATCCAAATGCAGCAATAGACCCATAACGCAAAACAAAATAAAAATAAAAACAAAACCTTCTTGAGAAGCTTCTGAAGTTATTTTATTGATTTTAATCAATAAAGTATCCAAAAGAACAGTTGTGCTGACAATTTTGGTATTTTGTAAAACAGCAATAAGATTATAAAACTTACTGTTATATACTAGAAATTAGCCTGACCGCTCTTTTTAAATTATTTTAATTATTTTAAATTAAATTTAAATTTAACTTAGTTATTCCAAGGCATTTCCCTTTAGAAAAACACAGTTTTCAGGGCACCTGGCTGGCTCAGCTGATAAGATCATGAGACTCTTGATCTCTGGGTTGTGAGTTCAAGCCCCATGTTAGGTACAGAGATTACTTTAAAAAATAAAATATTTAAAAAACAAAAACAAAACACAGCTTTCAAAGTAGAACCAACTTACTTTCACTGGAGTCAAAAATAACAGAAAGTTAAAAGTTTTACAGCATCAAATGTTGGCGTGGCGGGTGGGAGAGGAGGTACACGCTTGATAAGAATATGTCGACACAGCTGCTTTAGGGGGCAATTTTTCAGTGTCTACTAACATTTTTAAATGAACACAACCTTGATCTAACTATTCTACTTCTCCTGACTTACTGCATGACAGGCGGGCACAAAGACACTCACAGCAGCACTATTTATAACAGCTAACAACTAGAAACAACCTAAATGTCTACCAACAGGGAACTAACTGAATAAGCTACCACTAAACACTGAATAAAATTATAAAGCTGTATTAGATCTCCCAGACATTTAACGAAGGGAAAAGAACAAGCAGAAGGATACACGTAATATGTGAACATACCACATATAATCACAACATAGTGAGTATGACATACTAACAACTATCTACCTTTACAGGTGTCCCTGGTGGGATGTAAACTCATTTGTTACAGGACTGGAATAAAATGTACTAGGGGCGCCTGGGTGGCACAGTCGGTTAAGCGTCCGACTTCAGCCAGGTCACGATCTCGCGGTCCGTGAGTTCGAGCCCCGCGTCAGGCTCTGGGCTGATGGCTCAGAGCCTGGAGCCTGTTTCCGATTCTGTGGCTCCCTCTCTCTCTGCCCCTCCCCCGTTCATGCTCTGTCTCTCTCTGTCGCAAAAATAAAAATAAACGTTGAAAAAAAAAATTAAAAAAAAAAAAAATGTACTAGCCGGTTAACAGTACTACTTCTGAGAAGTATGCGACTAAGGATGGTGTTCAAGAGGGACTTCAGCCTTGGCTATATGTATCCAGTTTTGATAACAAAACTGCACTACGTATGTAATTTAAATGTTTTAAATTTAACCAGTTATCTCACCAGTTTACCTAGAAATGACAAATGAAACATACTATGACATCCTTCCAATAGATTAAGTCTTTCTTTTCTGACTCAGCATTTGTCACCGATTCACAATTACTTACCCCCAGGTAATGGCTTGCCTCTATCCACATTGTTGTTTTCATAGTGGAATTCATAACCAAAGTGCTTTACTCTTCTGTGCTTTAAAGATTTTTGAACTATACGAAGAGAAGAAAATAAACTACTTGAGAGAAAAAGAATTGCATTTCTTTGTATATTCGAAGTCAAAATTGTGAGTAAAGATTCCCTTAGTGATAGTAATTTTTGCTAACTGCTAAATTATTGTCATTAATAAAATTAACCACTCTACCTCATCTCTGCTACATTTTCAGTCTAAAATTGTGACAATCCCTTTTTTCACTCCAGTCAACTTTAAAGAGTTAAACACAAACACTGCCAATCACAAGACCATTAAAGATCCGGAAAGAGTCAGGGTAACTAATTTGCAAGACTCTCCAGGAGGCTCTTACTGCATTGTGAACTGGTGATTCCTCACAGGAAATGTGCCTTAGAGGGGAGAGGATCAACTAAGATAATACATGTGAAAGGGCTTATCTGTGTTAGCTCTACAAAAGTTAGCTAATAAATATTAATTAGTTTGGAGCTTAAAATTGATAGTTATATAAATGTCATTTATGATTAATGCTCCTAAGAATTATTGGTATGACTTGCCTAATATTAGATCTAGGCTACTTCCAATAATTTTGAGGAAATATTAGAAGTTTTAATAAAGCAAAGGAGGAGGAGGAAAGAAGGAGCGTAACGTGGTATTCTGCAGAGACACTTAAATAACACATTTTAAAAGTTTTACTTACCATTTTGATTGCCTGTTTCTTCTGTCCAGTTAATACTTTCCAAAAGCATTTTCTCATCCTCAGAAGAAATAATTTCTTCTACTACCATGAGGCCTGGAGGTAAGGCCTGAAGCCCCAACTCTTTCCATTGTGCTGTGGGAAACCAAATTAAAACAGTCACACACAAAACTTACAGTTTCTAAATACAAACAATTCTGTCCATAGCCATTTATGAGATCCTAAAATTCCCAATCCTCATATTCATAAATAAGAACACTAGAGGCACATGACATAGGAAATATAAAAATAAAGACCAAGATAAAAATCATGGTACATTTTATCCACTACAGTTACCAACAGCAAATAAAACAATATTTACTTCAATATTATTTGAACACAATTGAGTTTTTTTTTTTTTATTTTTTTTTTAACATTTATTTATTTTTGAGAGACAGAGCATGAGCAGGGGAGGGACAGAGAGAGAGGGAGACACAGAAACCGAAGCAGGTTCCAGGCTCTGAGCTGTCAGCACAGAGCCCCACGCGGAGCTCTAACTCACAAACCGCAAATTCATGAGCGAAGTCAGATGCTTAACCAACTGAGCCACCCAGGCACCCCACGATTGAGCTTTTTAAATCTCACTAGGAAACAAGGTTTTTCCTAGTATCTACAATATGCTCCTCTATTTAAAAGCTAGATTGTCTGTAAATATTGAAAACACAAATTTAAATGCTCATTTTGGCCCTTAGGTTCTTGATACTAACTATGGTCAAGTAACAGAAAAAGGTAAAACAACAAAAAACTTATTCTAAAGAAATAAAAATATCATTGTAGAATTGATGCATTAAGGAATTATTTGGTATATATTAGAATAATTTAAGTCCTTGTGCCCTTAAAGTTTAAGATAGATGCAACCGTGAAAGAAAAAAAAGATAGAATTTATGATTAAAGGGAACAGTGCAATTCACATTTATCATTAGGGATCTCACTGTTCATGTTAGACGTGATTTCTAAAGCTTTTCTGCTGAAGAGTTTTCATCTTTGAATCATGTAATATAAAAATTCTCAACAATAATAATATAAATGTCTACTAGATTTTATTACTATTTCAGAAATACAAATAGTGAATAACCTGATAAATATTTACCAAAGTGTTTACTGTGTATCAGGCATTATATTATTTGTTTAAATTATGTAAGAAACACTTGGGGAAAATTCCTTAAAGATAGGCAATTTATAGTATAAGAAATTCATACTTAGTTTTCTAAAAATACATTTAAAAAAAGACTAAAAATACCCCTTGTATTTGTTACTCAGTGGCTCTCTGGTGGTGATTATCAGAACATCTGTGACACAACTCTATTGTCTATTCATTTCTACCAAGAATTATCTCAAGGTGGGGGCACCTGGGTGGCTCATTTGGTTAAGTGCCCAACTCTTCATTTGGGTTCAGGTCATGATCTCACGGTTCCCAAGTTCAAGCCCCACATCAGGCTCTCCGCTGACAGCATGCAGCCTGCTTGGCATTCTCTCTCTCCTGCCCCCCTTTGCCCCTCTCCTGCTCATACTCTCTCTCAAAATAAATAAACTTAAAAAAAAATGTTTTAAAAAGAATTTTTTCCAAGGTTATAAACATGATAACAACAGTCTTGAAAGTACATCTGTATCTAACACGGGATTTCAAATAAAGAACACTCTAGAACTCACTTTGGGCAATTTCTTACAGGGTGTTCAACATACTGACTAGGAGAAAACCCAAAGACAGTATTTTCTAATTAAAACTTACTCCCAAACCATTCAGTTTTCAAAAGCCAATCATAAACACATACTAGATATGTTTTTTTTTTTCAATCTGCAAAGCTTAAGCCAGATTTTAAATTAAACACAGATACTGAAAATTATAACACCTAAAATAGATCTTTAAAAAGTTTTAAAAAGTTTCCTTTGAGTCTTACTTTACCAACACATAAATTTGGTCAGATTATGCTCACCTACCAGTCCCCAGGATACCTGAACAAAACATGACATTGTCTGAAGAGGTGACAAGTTAGGGGCACGTGGGTGGCTCAATAACGTAAGTGTCCAATTCTTGGTTTCAGCTCAGGTCATGATCTCATGGTTCGTGAGATTGAGCCCCATGTCGGGCTCCTCGCTGCAGTGTGAAGCCTGCTTGGGATTCTCTCTCTCTCTCTGTCTCTCTCTGCCCCTCCCCTGCTTGTACTCTCTCCCTCTCTCAAAATAAATAAATAAACTTAAAAAAAAAAAAAAAGAGGTGGCAAGTGAATTTAATAGGAGATCAGATGTCTAAGTCAAAGTTCATCTCATTTCCATGGGACAAGGGTGAAGAGACATAATAATCTCCCTAGCAGCTTTGTAAATCAGCCTATAAAGCTTTTATTTAAATTAGTTACCTTAAATAAAATTAAATTAAAAAATCAGTTCCTCAATCCCACAATCATGTTGGACAGTGCCACTATGAACGTCTGAACATTTGCATCATCACAGCGAGTTCTACTGGACGCTGCCACTATAAAGCTGTAGGGGTCTGGCGGCTAACGGGTAGCCTCCGTAAATGGAAGTCTGGCACACAGTCATCTGGATCACAATTAATTCTAAAGTGCTAAACTGAAAGCATCTGGGTAGATTGCAAAACTGGTAATCTGAATCCTCACCATTAAATTTTGAAAAACACAGCAGGATTCCAAACTACGTGACATACATAATACACACACTGTTGGGCTGGTAGGCCCAGCTCCTTAAAGGGAGGCTATGTCTAATTCACGTCCCTTCAGCTACTTACCCCATGCCTGGAACAAACTAGGTGCGTAAAGAGGGTTTGAAAAGAAAGAGGGGGCACTTAACTGATGTCCTGTTCGGTTTCACAAAAACCACACCTCCTCACTTAGGTAAGAAAAGAAAACTCACCCAAAAGCAACAACTATGTTTTAAAAGATGCCCATATGTTAATACCTTTTTCCACAAAATTGAAGTACAGAATGATCTTTTGTCCTAAATCATCCACTATTTCTTTTCCGTTGAGGGTGACGTAGGCTTTCTTGGATTCTTCTGCAGTTTTGTAGCTCACAAATGAGTAGGGCTTGTTAGGAGGCATTAAGAGAGCATCTACTGGTCCACACGTCTCTAACACTGGGAGCAGCTGGTTCCTACTCACCCCATTACCCAATCCACCATTGGCCACAACCAGGCTCTTTGAAACACACACACACACACACAAACAAAAACAAAAACAAAAAAACAGGAGCAATTAGTATCAACCCATTTATTTTCAAATAAGATTTGAAATTTTATTTTCAAATAAAAATAAGGCTATTTTTAAATTAGATTTCTACAAAGGTGTAATTAAGATGGAAAAAAAAGTCTCCTTATGGCGGTTATTTGGTTTTCTAATTTCATACACAGTATGTAAAACAATTTATTAAACACTGAGGATTAAAAAGTACACTTATGTGTAAATAATAGATGATTTTTAAATAGCCCTTTCAGCAAAATATTCCTTTTTTAATGGCCACACAAATTAAAATAACATTTATTACTGTTTATAAGTTTAACACAATGAAAGAGAAAGGAGGTAGAGAAGGAATAAGTTACATAATACTTTTTGCCAGACCTTACACCATGGATGCTTTTACCCACTTAATCCTCGTTAACATAAGCTTCACAACAAGCCTACAAGGTGGTTAATGTTAACGCCGCTTCACAAAGGAAGAAATTGAAGAGATGAAAAGTAGGTTAAGATAGTGATTAGGGGGAGTTGTGTTTCCAACCTATACTTCTGTCATTTTCCAGAATCCACACTTTTGACATAACCATGCTACAATGTCTACTAAAAACTGAAGTAAAGGTACTGACTCAAGGAAAAATCAACCACAGCTTCTGCTGAACATAAACAGGAAAATTTTCCTCTGTGTCTGAGTAATTCAGCCATTTTACAATTAAAACTTTTTCCTTAGTAAGCTTCATGATTCCTGCCTGTTATTTGCAGTCCTGCGTTAAACTTTATTTCAGAGATTTGTTTGAGGGGTGGGAGTGGGGGGGGAGGGGAGAAGCTTCCTGTTTTTATTCTGAAGCTTATGGCCCAGCACCTCTTATAATCTCACAGCACCCCTTAAAAAACATTCTTCTGGGGCGCCTGGGTGGCTCAGTCGGTTAAGCAACCAACTTTGGCTCAGGTCATGATCTCGCAGTCCGTGAGTCCGAGCCCTGCGTTGGGCCCTGTGCTGACAGCTCGGAGCCTGGAGCCTGCTTCAGATTCTGTGTCTCCCTCTCTCTCTGCCCCTCCCCTGCTTGCACTCTGTCTGTCTCCCAAAAATAAATAAATATTTAAAAAATAAAAATAAAAAATACTGTGGAGAAAAAATAAGCAAGCCCAAATAAGAACACATTTTGGAAGCCATAAATGTGGGATTAAAGCTTCTAGAAATCCTAAGAAAACAGATCTACTAGAAACAAGCCTCCAAGGCAGGAAAGAAACTTAAGCCATTTCTTTCCTTACCACTTCTCTTCACGACCCCGGAAGGAAAAGAAAGCAACTTGCACTTGGGAGCACGAGAGCAAGCCAGCTTCATCTTCTGAGCGTCCCACAGCCTCGGTGGCTCTTGGCACAAACAGTAAAGGGTGTGCAGGCAAACCCCTTGTAATGTTATGTATTTTATCCTCTTTACAGGATTTTAGTTTAATTCTCTGAAGTCATTGACATGGTGCTTAATGAAATCGAAGGATGGGCCTTTTCCTCGCTCATTTAAATCCCCCTCAACAGAGCACTCATTTGTCAACCTTAACTCGTCACAAGAGACAGCGTGATCATGACGTGAGGGAGAACTGGTCCGAGAGTCAAGAAACCCAAGTTTTAATCCCAGCTTCATCTTCTCAAAGACATGTCTCTCTCCTGCTTTCAGTTACATGATGGCTGAGCTTCCTTCCTACTCTTTACAACCAGAAAAGATACTTGATATTCACATGGAATTTTAATGACTAGTAAGTACCATCACATACATGTTCCCTTTAGCATCTAACAATCCAACAGAATAAAAAGGATGCAGCAACAGGTCTTTACAAATGAAGAGATCTGAGATCAGAGGCACTGCCCATGTCCAAGTAAGAGGAGAAGCTAAGAGTTAAAGTAAGTTCTTCTTAACCCACAGTCCAAGACGTCTCATAGTCCCATATATACATGGATATGGATATGATTGAATTACAGTCATCGGAAAATGAAAAGCCTTTGTAAATAAGTTCTAATAAGTTAAAAATGTTTTATAGCATACGATCAAAATACTTTATAACAGGGGCGCCTGGGTGGCGCAGTCGGTTAAGCGTCCGACTTCAGCCAGGTCACGATCTCGCGGTCCGTGAGTTTGAGCCCCGCGTCAGGCTCTGGGCTGATGGCTCAGAGCCTGGAGCCTGTTTCCGATTCTGTGTCTCCCTCTCTCTCTGCCCCTCCCCCGTTCATGCTCTGTCTCTCTCTGTCCCAAAAATAAATAAACGTTGGAAAAAAAATTTAAAAAAAAAAAAATACTTTATAACAAAACTGAAGTCAGGCATAGAGGGGAGAAGACTGAATTAGGTTACAAAAGACCTAGCTCTAGTCTCCTGTTCAGCCACACTATATCAAAGGATGCATCACAACCTCTCAGAACCTTAGTTTTCTCAACTATCATGTAAGAATTCTTAAGGAATTAAATATAATAATGAATGTAATGACACTCTGTAAACCATAAACAGTTATACAGTGTATATATACAGTGTATCATTAATATGCACCCATAATTCAACCAACACAGTCAACGGAAATTCAATGTCCCCAAATCCAAGGTTAGCAGGTACTACCGTATGCACATTTGGTAGAGATGTATCACATGACTGAACAATCATAGCCACCTTCTCTGAGCAATTACTAATGAATATTACTGTAACAATAACATGGTAATACGTTTACATTCAAATAATAGTTTTAGGTCACCTGGGTGGCATACGATACTGTCTCAATGCCTTCATGTCTCAGCAAAGTATGCCTGGCTTTAATCTGTTTCCTTAAGAACTTCTTCTCAGTTTTATTCAGTTTGTAATTACTTTGATGGTTGCTGTCCATGGCAGTACTAAAAAAAAAAAAAAAAAAAAAAAAAAAAAAAAAAAAAAAAAGATACAAAATGTCAACCTTAAGAATCCCAAAGGGAATTCTAATGATGCTATGCGTATATTCTATAGTTTATAGATACTTCTATGTGACAATTTTTAAAAATGTTTACTTTACTTTTCACCAACCAAGAGAAGTGAAAACAAACAGATGCCTGGACAACAAAGACATATTTAAGAAGGTAACAAAGAAGCAAGGACATCTAAGAGTATCTCTGGAGGTTCTACAAAACTTTCCAATGCTTTAGCTCTATTAAATGCACTCTATCACCCACAGGTATATATCCCCTTACTTATGACGGCCTAGGTAAAATGTGCCACAGACAAATTTCACAAACATAATGTTAGGAGAGAAGAAAAAAAAAAAAAGAAACGAAACAAAAAAATTCACAGAATATATAGTACGATTCTAGTGACATACCTTCAAAACCCAAAATAAGCCATATATTGTTTAGAAATACATACAGAGCAAAATGCAAGGAAAAGCAAAGAAATAATAAACAGAAAATGCAGGAGAAAAGTTATTCCTGCGGGGGAGGAGAGGAAGGTGATATAAAAGGCACATACAAAGCATCAAGGTCTTTCTTAAGTTACATGGAGGTTCAGGTATATTTTATTTTTAAGCAGTACATGTTATACAATTCTATAGTTTTTAAATACAGACATAAGAACCCCTAGAACTGTGTTTGCCTTCTACTAAAATATGCCAGTCAGCAAGTCGTTACCGAGCACTTTCCCAAAAAGGCCTTCACACGAACCAAATCAGGACCCTACGTCATGCTTTATTACAGTAGCCTACTTATTTCAGTCACAGAATTTAACATAAGTTGTGATGATTCCTTTGTTGGCTTAATTCCCCCCTCAGGAGGTAAACCCCAAGAGAGCAGGTGCTCAAGAAAATGTGTGGAAGGGATAAACGGATGATGATGGGCAAATACACACGTGCCTACGGACGGTCTCAGCGCGTGCAGCCCGCAACTATAACAGGCAGCTTACACGTAGCTGAGGAAAACACACAGACACTAAGCAATGAAAGAATGACACATCTTTCTACAATTGTTAGCTGTACAGTCTTCAGATGTGCCGTGAATTAGAAGAAAAATAAGATTGATGTTAACTGGAAAAATCTGGGGAAACTTCAAATCAGAAGCCGACTTGAGCTGAGCACTGAAGGACAGGAGGAACACAGAGCCATTCGGAAGGAGGGTATCGAGCGAGACAACAGAAGCTCAACACAGAATTGGATGCGTCTGGCAAAGGCAGTGAGAGGTAGGCAAAATTTTAGAGCAGGGAATGCTGGCTGATCCGCTGATCCCACTCGTCACCCACTTGAAAGCCTCCAAAGTTAGCAAACAACATAAATGTAGGAAGTTAAATAAAATCATACTCCAAAACAGCTCATAAACAGCCCAAACTCTAATTAGCCATCTTTACGTCTAGAGAGAAAATGCTGAGTCAGCTGAAACAACAGCCAGGAAGGAGCTTACCTGGCACACGGAGTGCGCATGAGAGAGGGAAGGCCGCGACAAGAGGCGGGCTGCACAGCGCAACAGGGGAGGGGGAGGCAAGAGGACCTTCGATAATCCAGCCCACCAGGTGGAAACCGACAGGAGGATCGGGGTGGAGGAAGAAGAAAGGAAAGAAGAAGAAGAAAGGAAAGGAGGGAAGAAAGAAGAAAGGAAACAGGGACAGGGGAGGACACGGGGAAAGTTCTAGTACGATCAGGAGGGCCTGGTGACTCCCCAGACGTGAGGGAAAGAGGAAACACAGGCCACTCGCTAACACGGCAGAGTCTCAGGCTAGTGATGGCACTCGGACACCGGGCTGACTCCAGACGTCAGAAGAAGGTCAGGACGAGACGGTAGTGGGTATTAGGACAGAACGTGTGTGAGGTCGTGGCGAGGTACGGAGTTGCGGTGCCTGGCTGGCGAGCGACAGTGTGAAGTGGCTAAAAGGAGAAGAAACCAGGTGAGAGAGAAAGCTTTCGGTGTCCTCAACAGACAGGCAGAGGACAGCTGAATGGGTATTTTTAAAACTGCACGAATTACAATGATCTGTTTCCAGCATCTGGTCCCTTCTACTGGACTACACGCTCTTTGAGGACCAGGATTACATGGCCTCCCCGGAGCCTCTGTCACTGCTAAGGGACAGTGTAACACAGTGTTCAGGGGTCCCGGTTGTCCACTCAAATCTCCGCTCTACCACTTATTAGCAGTATGATCCTGGGTGAGTTATTCATTTCTGTGCTTAGGCTCCCCACCTGTAAAATGGGGGAATAACAGTGCCTGTTCCCGGCACGTAACTCCACCTAAACCCTGCACTAAAAAATCTGACCAAACTCTTCTATGGCTTCCAGCAGCATAAAGCCAGGATGTCCCCAGCACCCCCATTAAAAGCCTGCCTGAGAAAACTAAAAATGCTGCCAGGAAAGTGTGCCATTTGTTCCAGCAACACCTGTCAACAGACCCCTGACCTCCCCTTCTTAAAGTATTTATTGAAAGGGAACTACAGTTGGAATATGTATCACTTGCTGCTCCGAAGTGTTGCTCTCAAGGACCTAAGAGCCATTCCTTTGGAATGCAGTCATCAGGAAGGATGGGGCCTCTGTCCCAGTCTCCACAGTAGGACAGAATCCTAACTGTGATAACTGCTAGCAGCAAACACGGCTGGCTGGTACTGCATTTGCACGGACCAATCCTTTGTAATTCTTCTCTGGCCCTACGGAGTCCCTGCTCTGCTCTCCCTTCCTAGTCTCCCTTTAAAACATCCGAATCATTTCTCACAAACTGGAACGGAGCTGAGCTCTTTCTCCTACTGTCAGTAGTTACTAATTAAAATCTGTTTTCACCACTTTAGTGTCTGGCTGTGTTAATCTCTGACACTACGTCACAAATTTCTTAAAAGGATTAAATACGCCTATTAATAATTATTTGGTGACTTCCAGAAGAGCCAGATCAGAATGGTTTAAGAAGACAAAGGAGGGGCGCCTGGGTGGCGCAGTCGGTTAAGCGTCCAACTTCAACCAGGTCACGATCTCACGGTCCGTGAGTTCGAGCCCCGCGTCGGGCTCTGGGCTGATGGCTCAGAGCCTGGAGCCTGTTTCCGATTGTGTCTCCCTCTCTCTCTGCCCCTCGCCCGTTCATGCTCTGTCTCTCTCTGTCCCAAAAATAAATAAACGTTGAAAAAAAAAAATTTAAAAAAAAAAAAAAAAAAAAAAAAAAAAAAAAAAAAGAAGACAAAGGAAAGCTGAGGGCCCTCAAAGAACTATCTCATTGCCATTCTATCCCAAGATCATGACCTTTGGAACGGCATTTTTGCAGTGTGAAATGGAAAACAAGGGATGAACGCATTAAGATTTTTTTTTTTTTCTTTACATGCCACATGAGCAAAGACTGCAAAGTGGAAGAAATGAGAAAGAAAAGATGCTGGATACATGTGCGTAAAAGTATGACACTAAGAGCCCAGTGCCAGCAGATGGAGCCTCATGACCACACTCTGTCATCCTCTTTCCCTTCCTCCCTCAAACAACATTATTACACGTGAAGAAAGACAAATCCGGGTAGCCACGGAGGCTCGTTTCTTCCCGTTACAGGGACGTGGCAATGCGCTGGCCCAGCAGGTCTGAGTCACCTCAACCAGGAGCAGGCTGCTAGCAGCTGCTGAGGTCTGGAGGTGCCCTCTTTCTAAAAAACCCACTTCCCTCACCAAGAAATTTCTACCACTGCACAAAGGTTTGGATGCTGCTTGCCATGTTGTGGGAGTGTGACGGGAGTGAGATCACGATTTACCAGACAGCCTACTAGCCATGGTGAGTCCAGTCTAATCAAAGTCTAAAGCACATTCTCTGTAGGACACAAGAGTTTGGAGATCACACAGACTCTGCTAGTAAGCTGAACCCCGACATATCCTACTGGACATCCCAAGTGGTAACAGTAGTATGTGTCCTCCTCCTTGAACAACGGGGTGCCTATAATTAACCAAAGAAGTATAGAAAAATGTTCCTGGTGGCATGTGGGTGGCTCAGTCAGTTAAGCATCGGACTTTGAATCAGGTCATGATCTCATGCTTTGTGAGTTCAAGCCCTATGTCGGGCTCTGTGCTTACAGTTCAGAGCCTGGAGCCTGCTTCAGA